TGTTTTTCTTATGAATATGACCTACCAACACTCTGTTATTAGTGGTAAAAAATCAGTCCATTGGATGAAAATATAGCAGAGATATTCAGATCTTTTTCCTTTTCAAAAAGACTTTTGGACCACCCTGTATATCTCATCAGTTATTACTGTTGTGTCATATATAAATTCATTATTTCTTGTTGATTTCCTTCTTTTTTCTTATCCTCAGCTGCATTTAAGAACAGATACAGATTTAACTGTGCAATGTTTTCTTTCCAAAACGATGGTGTACGGATTGGTTCTCTTCTTACGCTTTCTTCTTCTCCTTTCGAAGAATATCCTAATGTAATATATTTCTTTTCTCTCTCTTTCATATCACGTACACACATACTTGCTTGTTGTCCTGCAATGTTGAATTAGTTGTTATTTCGATATTAGTTTTTATTCCCTTGTGGCCTCATTTGTACTGAGAGAAGCACGCGCACCAGGACTTCCTGAGGGATGAAATGGAACAGAAAAAATAGTCATGGAACGTCATATTCGTCACATAGTTGTTGAAAAAGTGAAATTCAATGGTAATTGTACTAAATATTATACCACTGAAAGAAATTTGAAAGTAGTGATGGAAATACTTTATTTTCGTATAGATAGCTTGAGGCAAATTTCTCTTGATATGTAATCATAGCAAAAACAATCATAAAAATAAAATTTCAATAACGGCTGTTGGTTATGATATGTGACGATAAAATTAGATCATATTGTCTTCAGTATGTATTCTTCTTATTGCTCTTATCTTTGTGGATGTTAACATTTTTTTTTCTATCACAACTATACCCCATATGCTGTTACATTGCATCAACATTTACAGCACCGCAGAAAATATTATTTTCGTTGCTTCATTGCAATAGACAAGAACACAATCTATACGACAAAAATAGTTACATCATTCCTTATAACAAAATGTTTCTATAAATGACTGTTTGTCTTATGGGATTTTTCTATCTCACGCGACGTTCTGACATGTATAAATATCATTTGCATGCCATAGACATAGATACACACAACCGTACATATTTCATATCAACAGTGTTGTACCACTGTTAACAGAGGTAAGTTTGAGTAATACTTTCTTTATGTACCCGTTATAATCGACATTCATCGTATTAGAATAAATGGAAAAAATCTATAAAGAACATTAAATAAGCCCAGTACTTCAATTTCAATATTTATAAATACCTTCGATACAAACTAGAAATTTACCAAATCTAAATCGTTTGGAAGTTGGGTTTGAGTTTTGGTCTACAGCCTAAACTTACTAAACCATTTGAGTTTGAGTATAATTCCATCTATCTCTCGTCGCTTCTGTATATTCAAAATATTGTTTTTCTGTACAGATATAAGCAAAAACACAGTTCTATGTTTTTCATTGTTAAGTATCAAAGTCAAATTGCTTGATAAAAATAAATACTCGACCAATATCACATCTTCTTCTCGTATTCACTTTTTCGAGATGCATTTCTAGACTTTTGGTGTAAATCCTGATAGTTACTTGGACGTCAAATTCATGACACTTACATCGAGATGCATCCTTAAAGAAAGCATTTATAGATATAATGCAATTTTCTAATTCCATTTTTGATCCAACAAACATTATTTCAGTGAGAATCAGAAGTTGTTTTAAACAGAATGGATGATATAAAGTTCTTGACAAATTAAAAGTTCTCCTTATAATAAGGACCTCTTTTTCCGTTAATAATCAAACAATTTCGCTAGAATAAAAGAAGAAAAATACAGATTAAAAATTAGTATCATGATCGATCTTTTAAAATGATTTCTGCAGTCTATTTTTATTTTCTTTGGCACTTTTATGCCTGCTTCTAACTCACTTCGACCTTGACAATACTTTGCGACTATTATATTAGCGTTGTATCAGTTCTGAGTTAAACCATTTATGAGATAAATCTGATTAAAAAACTGTTTGAAAGAGTATTCTTTTATTGAAAATGTTTCTTGGATGTGCGTAAGTACTACTTTGAAGAACCCTCAAAAACGACTTTTCTTTTATTCTTGACAACCCATGCAAGTAGTTTTTGTATCAAAATGTCAACATCGAATATGTGTATAGACAAAAATTGTTTCAATGGAGATACGTTTTTAAACAAGACCCCGTCTGAACACGATTAGACGTGGTCCGATATTAAATCGCGTGTAGACGTGTTCAAATTAATATATTGAACTTTAAAAAGATATTACAATCCATCTTAGCTTTGATCTGATGTCACCATTGATATCCTCTAACGGAAGTCTTTACCTTATCAAAGGCGAGCAGAATGTTGTTATGATGATGTACGTAGAATGATAGAAAAGAGTTTAGAACAACTGAAGCAGCAATTAAGAAGCAAATGTATGTACCATGAGGGCAGATATGACCACAATCCTTATCAAATGAAACAGAATTTATATATGTATCGTGAATTCACATCTTATTCACAAAATACATGTATGAAAGATGTGTTTTCTATATGCATAATATATTGATACTTTATAGGTAGCTTTAAAAAAAATCTATTGCTCAAAATAAACTGTATACCTATGAAATATTTCTTATTTCCAAAATGGGAGATATCTTTTCATTTTGGGAAAGTTCATTCATGATTTCTTTGAAATTACATCGTTTTCAATATTATCTAACATTGAACATTGATTATTTGTTTATTTTATTTCATTCAATAATATATTTTAATTCTCTCTTTGTTTTTCGTTATAAAACGAAAATATCTTAAGGAACTTGCAATTATGATGCTTAAAACTGGGTGTGGATTTTCTTGAAATCCGTGCCCACTCATGCCCACGCACACAATCACACCCATACCCACACCCTTGTTGTTTAGAAAGGAGAATACTATTATAAATTGAGCCAATCTTTTAGCGTCTGATAGACTATTATTCTAAGAACATTATTCTTACTGACGATCAATTTTCTTTTTTTCTTTGCACTTAAATATGATTCACTTCTTCTTGTTGTACCAGCGCAAGATAATTAAAGTAAACACACTTCCCAAGGGTATGGGTGTGGGTCGATGTGAGTGTAGGGTGTGGGTGTTGGTATGAATGAAGACAAGAATCAAACACACATCCACATCCACGCTCACACCTACACCGACCCAGACCCGGATCCAGACCCACACTCATCCGTCAAAGAATGTGGTGAGAGTATGGGTGTGGGTGTCAGATGTGAATGAGTGTGAGTGTAGATGTGGGTTTGATTCTTGTCTTCATTCATACCAACACCCACACCCTGCACCCACTACACCCATCATCTTTACCTCACACCCAAAGCCACAACCCACTCACCCATACCAACACCCACATCCTCACCCTTCACCCCCACCTACCCACGCCCACAATTCACACCCAGACCCACACCCACTCACATTCCACACTCACACCTCACACCCACCCCATCCTGAAATGAATGTGTGCTGAAAATATTAGATGAATTAATACTTGCATCTTTGAACAAGACCATATGCTGCCTTTTAATAATCAATCTGTATGTCAAACAGATTTATCTCTTCGATGAGAAACAATGATTTATCTTCAAACTCTGAGATCTTAATCAGTACTGAGTGCCTTAGTACTGATATAAATTGGAGCTGGATCGGAGCATGTTTAGTCAAGATACTGAATATATTAGTACAGTGGTTCAGCAAAGCTAGTAATAGTAATAATCGTATATCTCGGCTCAGGAGGCCTGAAAAACCAAATCCTTGTAAACTATTTAATAGCTCACTGAGGTCTATCGTGTGAGCATATATTCGATCAAAAAGCAATTTGACACTGGGATATGTTCCCTCATCAGCCACACCATTGATCTATACATTGGCTTGCGTCTTTACATACGGGAATGGGGAATGAGAATCGATAAAAGTCGTTCCCACAGGACACTAGTTTATACTCACATAAATCAACAGGCAAACAAGATGTATTTTTGCAGCATGCATACTCAGCATGACATATCAGTGATATAGATAAGAAAGATAGTAGATATTTGTTTTTTTTGTTGTCTTTTTTTTCTAATAACCATAAAGAGAAGGTCGATCGACATGGCTGTTGAAGACGCACGTGCACTCGACACTGCATGGATCATCGAACGAGCTGACGAAGTTCGTCGAACCGGGTCGACTATCATTCGAAACGTTCTTCCAGTTGACAAAATTGATGAACTCAATCGAGTTTTTCAACCGCTTCTGGCGGAAACTGTGCGCATCGAGGGTGCAGCAGGAAATCGAGGACCAAGTCGTTACTATGTTACTCCACCCTTTCGTCCACCATGGACCGATGTATCAATTATTGACAATGATATTATCATGGCGATTGTTTCCGAACTTGTGGGTGCCGATGGAGTATTTTGTCAATTAGCTACCGACACTCCATGCCAAGGATCCCAATACCAGGATTTGCACCGTGACACTCAGTCACTTTTTCCCGAATGGGGACAAGAAACGCCACCTTTTCAACTGGCTGTTAATTTTCCTCTTGTCGATAGTAATCCAGAAAATGGACCGCTTGAAATGACACTGTCAACACACCTGTTAACCAAAGAAGAAGCTCTTCGTCGCATTGAATCTGGCGAAATACCTGTGCAACAAGTTTTGATGAAGCGAGGCGATGTGCTCATTCGCGATGTTCGACACATACATCGAGGAACACCCAATCAAACCGATCAACCGCGGCCTATGGTCGTTCTTGGCTATAGTCGAAAATGGTTATTTCGACCAGAAGTTGAAATTCGTGTCGCCCGAGAAATATTGGAACAATTACCGCTACGAACACGCAAGTGGTTACGATTCAATCCTGTGTTCAATACCCTGGAAGAAGCGGAAAAGAAAGAAGAACTCTACCGTTCCTTTGCTTACTAAACGTATCCTTTCGATGTCACACCGAAAAATTGAATGTTTGTTCGAAGAAATAATAAAAGCATACATAACAGTGTTAGAAACCGCACAATGACGAGGCAAGCCTGGTCCTCTAACACCGAGAGAAGATTGTTATTGTTTGTCATGGAGATTGAAATTGAAATTGATTAAGCACAAAATGTTCACCTCCTCATCGAAAACTCAAGCAGACTTTGAGAAGAATACCATAGGCGCGGCGAGTAATCAAAAATTTGAAATAAATATTTTTTGTCCGTTCTGTTCCAATTTCGAGTACCCTCGATGACTATCGAATTTCAAGCAGTTGAAAACTATGCTCTATTGAAAGCTCACTTTGGACTCCCCAAACACATTTAAACACCCCAGCACTCATCGAAGTTTCAAGTGCTCGAATGTGGATGTGTCGATGTGGGATGTAGTTGTGCATGTGAATCTCTTCTCTACCGACACACATCCACACCCACACAGTGGACAATCAGGCGATAAAATCCATTTCTGAGTTCGAAACCTGAGTTGTAGCTGGCATTAAAGCTGTTATAGTTCTGGGTTTAACTACATCTTTGATTCGGTTTGCAAGCGAGTAGTCGTCTTGCAATAGTTATCAAACAGTAAATAAAGTAGATGCATAGCACTGATAGGATACTAGAAGTAAAGTTTATGTTTCAATTTGATGATATAATTGTATTTATCATATACTATGCAGTTATTTAGCGTTATATGTTTACTATATACTATAGGCCTTTCAGACTGCCCGAATTTCTTTCTGTTCCAATAGGGCCAAAACCCTTCTCGTAATATACCAAGAAATAATGACTAGTGAATAATGCCATTCTTTCGCCGATTTTTGCCGAAGCTTTTATTTAAATTTTACTTCACTATCTGAGAGTACATGTCATCATCCATCTTGAATGCATGTCCAAAGATACCCTCCTAAATCCTTATTGAGATACGATGTCGTCAATATAACCTGCCATGTAGATTGGTTCCGAGGCATTTGTGTAATAAATATTCATCTTTTAGATTGATTAGATTTCCAACAGTTTTCAATAGATAATACAAGCTCAAATACATGAATTTTTAAACTACTACAACGATTGTTTGGTTCTAAACATAATCAATAGATAGTCTCTAACTTTCGGTTCTTCAGAGAAAAACCTTGGTAACTCGCGAGGAAACATCTCCAGGTGGTAAATCGTTTCTGACTCTGGACTATGTTCATTCGATGAGTACTGACGAACGTTGAAAAAGTCTAGAATGAGGGTGTGGGTGGGATGTAGGTGTGAGTGAGTGTGAACGTGGCTGTGGTGGTGAATGGATGTGAAGTGTGGATGTCGATGTGGATGAAGAGAAGACGACTAGTGACATCCATGCTGAGACTCACTTTCGACACGCAGCATCAAACCATTAATAAATGGTGGATGACACCTTTGTCGCAGCTACAAACAACACAGTTGTGGATTTGCGTGTGAGTATGGCTTTAGAAGAAGAGACAGCCAACATCGGCACCCATATTGATACAATGCGCTGTCTGTCATTCTTCAAAAGAGCGACTTGAATGTCAGAAAGCGCTCGAACGTGTGAATGTGGATATATAGTATATCTGTCACTATGAGTGAAGCGAAGATCAACAGCAACATCAGCAGTAACACGAAGACTCATACAGAACTATGTCTACCGGAACCCATACCCACACTCATAGCAATACCTAAATCAAGAACTAAAGACACGCCAATACACCTAAATGATAATTATGCGCTTTTTATCTAAATTAGTTTATTTTTCCAAGTTCTCATAAAAATATTTGTAGAGTATATCGTACAAAAATGAGAATGACTACGAAGAGGCAAAATCGATCTCCTGTCGGAATCTGACTTTGCTTTTCTTATTTTCTTACTTTTGCTGTCAAATATATTTTTCTATCAAAACAAGACGATTTCATGCATTAAACGTTGCAAACGACTCGATTTATTCATCCTTTTTTTTCGCGTATTAGATGCTATAAAAAAAGCATTCAAGTACTTTACCGTCTAGAGATTATTGTTTCATCCATTCGTTGTTATGATTAGCCGATTTATAAACCAAATTGAAGTTCTCTTATTTCTCTACCAAATGGCATATCAACTTATCGGAAAATTTAGTACCATGACTCAGTATTGCAACTGGGTGTGAGTATGGATCTGATCTGCGTTTTGGTATCAGATGGACGGAGACCCACGCCTCCCTTCACCATGACAACTACACTCACACCCTCAAGATATTTATCTTCATATAATTGAGATAACATATTCTTTATATTTATAAAACAAAGATGTAAATATTTTTAAAAATTTATTTATAAAATAAAAATTATGAAATAAAGAAAGATCTCCCTCTGTAATTAATAAATATACAAAATTGTGGTATTATAGCATCAATTAACCACATTGCGTACTATGTAGTAACGTTTTGAATATCCAATATTGTTAAAATCTGAGAATATTACAAGAAAAAATATCTGCAAACAATTTTGTCAATGTACTTTTGTGTAATTATGGTATCAAAAGTTTTCAGGCATCTAGAAAAAAATCAATTATTCGTTTTTCATTCAAAAAGCCTATTTTTATTTCACTTTCTTTCATCTTATAAGTAATAAAAGTTTTTATTGCGTCTATCTTTATCGTATAAATTTAACAATAAAGATAAGCCAACAAGTCTATTTGAAAAATTGTTAGTGAAGAATCAGGTAAAACGAAATACTTAGAACTGAAAGTAACATATCTATAGAATTTATTTTTTTGTCTAGACAAAAGACAATGACATTTATAGAAAAAGATTTAAAATCATAATCTATTGCGTGCGCATCTCAATACATTTTTGAAGTAATGTAAAACGAGGCATACAGCATTGTCAACGGTTTAATGTTTTCAATAAGAGATAAGTAAATAACAATCAATTATTATATAGGATTACTTTTATAATATAGTAAATCTATTACATCAAGTTTAATTTGTTAAGAGAGGGTCCATGACAGAATCAAGCATTCATTTTCGTAGTAGGGCGTCATACACCAAGTTTTGACCTACCTTTTGACCAGTGCAAATGAAAGAGCATGTAAAGAAATCTATAAGTCCAAAGCTTTAGCCTTCTATAACTGACTCTTGAATAGACATGAAAAAAACATTGAAAATGTCTCCATAAAGTTTTAAAATAATGATCATAATTTTTCTGTTTTGAGTATGTAATTGTTTTTTTTCTTAAAAGTAAATTAAACCAAATTGACGCTCTAAAAAACTGTATATTTTGACTTTACTCTTAAAAAATTTAAAACATATCTATGGCGGATCAATATATGAAAAACGACACAAAAATTTTCAAAATGTTATGTTGTTTTTTTAGTATTTCGATGCAAAAATAATAAGAAAGGAGTTTGGACAGACAATAGTTTCATATGAATTCGATAGAGCGAAAAAAACGGCACAAGATGCACCTGAATAAGTATCCAAAAAACATGTGCATAGTACCTTAATTTAGTCCAAACGATAAAAGAAAACTACTGTTAAGGCCCCCTTTAAAAAAGTCAGTTTTCGTTAGAATGGTAAAAATTGAGATAAATACTTGGGGAGATAGCTCGTCATTTGCTCTTTCAGAAATGATAAAAACTTCTCTTCGATATGTCATTTTTCAAAAAAGAATTCAAGATTTTTGACAACCTCTATTCGAAAAGCCAGCAATTTTTTGAAAAACCAAAAAATCTTTTTCGTTTTTTCTCGGTTCACGATATCTCGAACGCGCAACCCGAATTTCTCTGTCGATACTCATTCAATGTATTTATTTTATGTATCAATTCGGTCAGACAGATGCTCTTTTATGTAACATTTCTAAAAATATATTCTTCTAACAGATTAAGATCAATGAACATCAGTCTGCTCTTAGTTGGCTAGAAAACATTTCTTAGCATGATGAAAAACTGGATAACAACACTGGTGACCCGGACTTTCATGTTTCTTCAGTTTCTGCCACCCCATCATTTATTCGCAATGGTTCCAGTAAAAAGAGCAAACGAGCGTGGGTGTTGGTGTAAATGAAAACGAGACCACCATCCACACCCATCCAATCTGCAGATTTATTTTGTTTGATAAATGTTCAAAAAATTCTTGTAATATTTATTATGTACGTGTAATGATTATACGAGCTTTTTAAACAGAAGCAGCATTTTTCACTCCAGTTCATTTTAATCTTGACTCATCATCAAAAATTCGAAAAAAAATCATTTGGAAAAACTATAATTCAGGTAAATAAGAATAAACTGATAACTTGTCAAATATGAGTCGATAACAAGAAGATTAATATGAAAAGTAAATCGGTCTCATTTTTACAGTTATCAGCCAACTGAAAGTAATTAAACTTTGCACTTACTAGATTCAGATAATATTACATTTACATTACAATAGACTCGATTAGTAGATCACCATTGAACGTAAATTTTCTCGTTCTTAACAATATTTTCATCAATAAACAGATTCACTGACATAATTTGATAACTAAATGACAGCACACTGTCAGGTACTAATTCAATCAATCGAACAAAAGAGCTTGTCATTAATTACAAATTACAAATTACAGTTTTTTTTTGCGTTAAACCATGCTTTAGTTTTCTTCAAATCACATTTTTATAATTTTTATAACGTAAAGATAGGCAACGATTGTTTTTCCAAAAAGGAAAAAAAAAGTATTCTATGTGATTTGACGCAGATCGATATGAATGTTATTCTAGTATTCTTTAATATCACTGTGCCGATATTGATGTCACCCTTCACTTATGTCACAGTTGACATAAGAGTTTCAGTTGAAATTGAAATACGCGCGGTAGTTATGAAAATGAGAACAAAATTGTTTTTTATGTTTGCAGATTTTATAGCACTGGTCACAGTAGTTTTCGTTGAAATAATCGTTTCGCAAAGAAAATCGTATTAAATACATTCAATAAAATATTGCCTGGTCAAAATAAACTAAACACTTTATTATTTCTCTCCACAAATGTGACTTAGACTCAAATTTATATCACAGATAGATGCTGGAGTACTCAACTTACTGTCAAAGTTTCAGCCCTATCAAATATAGAGTTCTCGAGAAATTCACCACTATGTCCTATCTTTTTATTTCTCTTAATTAAGACAACTCATTTACTTAATTGGTTTTCTTGTTCATCACATTGGAGCAGATGGGTAAAAACTATTGCGAAAAAAAGTGATAATCTCATATGTAAATAGTTCATAGCATTCTCGAATAGTGGAAAACACTTCGATAATGGGAAACGCGAGTTTAAGGGATGCTTTGAATTTTATTATCATCGGAAAAAGAAACATATCATTAAGTAAAATTTGAATTACATCTCTAAATTTTCTTGTGTACAAGAAAAAACAAAAGAAACTTTGATATGTTTATCAATAGTGTATTATAATAAAACTAAGAGCAATCAATTGAAAAATAAATCTACGAACTAAACAGTTATTATTTGTTCACGAGTGCTCGAGAAAAGGATAATTCAATTATCACAGCGGCAACATCGATAAAAAAGAATGAGGAAAAAAATGTATTGGTTGCGTCAAAGCAAATACAAATCATTCATAGTGTTGGGATGAAGGAAAAAAAAGAAAACAACATGAACGTTGAAGCTAATCATGTGTATGAAAAAAAAAGAGGAACAACTATTCCACCATTAGTTTCGTATAAAAAAGAACATTTATTTATTTACATGTCATCATATTGTTGGATCTAATGATCGTACTTATTTGTCATAATTCAGAACTAATCTTAGATTATAGTATATAATTGTAGAAATCATCAATATCCTTCTACTATAGATTTAAAAAATATTTATCTCCTGAACGAGATTCTGTTACTTATACAACATCCGTCGAGATGAAGTAGCTGTATTTTTAAGAATCTAACAATATCTACTGTACTAAAATCTGTTTTAGTTCTCCGATATGTGGTGGTATGGATGGTTTTCGACCATTAGATGATGAAGATTTAGAAATTTGGGACATAGTAAAAAAAAAACATATTCATGTTAAAATCAATAATCGATTTATTTGTTTAAATAGTACAAAGAAGCTTTAGAAAAGAAAATTCGAGATCAGTTTAATTTATCCGAAAATGATACACTCAAACCGGTTCAAGTAGCCACACAGATTGTAGCTGGAAAAAATTATTTTTTCAAGGTATTACATATGTTTTTGAAAATCATAATTAATTGTAATGAATAAAATCTTAACTGACAATAGGTTGAATTACCCGATAAAACATATGCGACAGCTCGTGTTTGGCATATTGTATGGCAAAACGATACGCATGGTGATGAAAATCAAGTTGCTGTGCATGAAAAACTCTCTGAAGATCCAAATGAAGATCTTGGTGATTTTTAAAATTTAAACAACCCAAAGAATAAACATTTCCATATCTAATTATTTATTCATCTATTTAATTTTAAATAAGTTCCTTTAGTTTATCTATTAAAATTGTATAGGTAGAATCTTTCCTAAAACAAAAATCAGCTGCATGAGAACGAGAGTGTCGATGTCATCTGTTCTTCCTGCGCACATCTACATTAACATCATCAAGAAAAGTCTCTTTTTTTTAACTGATTTATCATGCTAAATAAATGATTTTTGTAATTATTTTTGGGATTGTTTTCGTGTTTTAAAGATTTACAAGCTCTAGCACTAAAGAATAGAACTAGATAATGCAATATTTTTCGTGACGACAACAAGGTGTGGATGTGGATGTAGGTGTGGATTTTTATGTAGACTTCTATCCATACAAACACTCCACCCACCCTCACCTACACCTAACTCTAACAATTTCACAGAGAGACTCGAAGAGGATTCATTTGACGAGATAAATGGGAATGCTAGGGTGTGGGTGTGGATGTGGGTGGGTGTGTGGTTGTAGTGTGTGGGTATGGGTCTGGATGTGCCTGTGTATGCGAGAGTAAGACTATTAGCTACACCCACACTTACCCACACATCCATTCACACACACCCACACCCTCAAGTGTGTGCATATATTGAATGTTCTCAAATGCGTTGTTATTGCGACTTATGTACTTTGTTTGTTCGAGATCATGTCATTTCGAACTATATATCTGCAGAAAGTGTCCAAGTCAAAGATGGCAAAGGATACAAGATGGAATGTTACTGTGGCTTTCGGTATTCTCTTCTCTCACATTCACACCATTCTTTTTGTAGTCGAGGATTGATTTCTACAATTTGCTAATTTCATGCATTCGGTTCTTACGCTACTAGAAATAAAGCAAATATTTTCAAGGACTTTAAATTTAACAAAACACAATATACCGAATTACTTTATGGTAACTTGAGGTTGTTGGTATTCAGTTCGTGTATAGCCACATTCACACCCTAAAAATAAAGCGTCTTAGACATCTATTGTTGCCATAGTTCTTCTATGACTAGCTGTTAAACTATTTCATTTCTTTATGATACAAATATATGTATATATATATGTATATGTATATACATATGTCATCTCCATACCAATTATGAATATTAATTAAGGGAAAAAGAAATTCAAATTATTTTGTCTACAAAAGCATAATCAGATTTATTTTTGTTGGAAGTCAAGGAGGACAGTTAAACGAAGAATATTTAACGTAAAGAAGCGGACTCACGTCCTAAGCTACTTTGTTTTTGTAACTTCGAAGTATTTTAAGAGTGAGTTTCTAAGTGGCACAAACATCGATGATGGAGTGATATCTCACCACTGGCTGATTCTTTGGTATGTTGTAGAGAGTGATGAGTTATGTACTTTCTAAATTTTTAACTGAATCGAATGCATTTCTGAAGAGAAATCCTAAAAATACGGATGGTTTTTTT